TTCCTCCACTAAAATGTGCATTTCTTGAGGACTTGTCAGGGGACTGCTCCATCTAAATCTCTCCAGTGGGTGAGGGCCTCAATGGTAGGCCCTTTCACTCTTTCCACCATCATTATGCTAATAAATATTTGTGACCTAAGCATTTTTTCCCCAAAGATGCCTATTGAAAGGGTTTTTTCCCCCTTGCTGTTTTTTATTGTGGTAAACACACATAACATAAAATTTACCATTAATAACATTTAGTACATTCACAATGTTGTGCAACCGTCACCTCTATCTAGTTTCAGAACATGTTCGTTATCCCAAAAGGAAACCTGTACCCACCAGCAGTCCCTCCCCACTCTCCATATCCCCAGCCCCTGGCAACTGCCAAATCTACTTCCTGTCTCTATGGATTTGCCTATTTTGGATATTTTATATGAATGAAATCATACAATAGGTGACCTTTTGTGAATGGCTTCTTTCACTTACATAATGTTTTCAGGGTTCATCCACGTTGTAGCATGTACCAGTGCTTCACTCCTTTTTATTGTCTAATAATATTCCATTGCATGGCTGTACCACATTTTGTTTATCCATTCATCAGTTGATGGACACTGGGTTGTTTCCACCTTCTGGCCACTGTAAATACTGCTGCTGTGAGTATTTGTGAGCACTTGTTTGAATGCCTATTTTCAATTATTTTGGATATATACCCAGGAGTGGAACTGATGAGACATATAGTAATTCTATGTTTAACTTACTGAGGAACCTAATGCATTTAAAAAACATTTTAAAAACTAGGCAGAATCATCCTATCAAAGAAAGAAAATAGTTAATATTGCGGAGTGGAGACAGTGAAGATGGCAACTGGAGTGGCCAAGCATTAGGGAATTTGTGTGCTGCGTGTGGGTCGGAGAGAGAGAGAGAAAGCCAGAACTGCTACCAAGGTGTGTGAAAACACACTCATCTGACAGAGCCAACACTGTCTCCTAGACCACGAAGAACTCTAATCTCGGGGAACCAGGTCAGCAGTGAGCAGGAGGAAAACTGTAAGGAGAAATGGAATCAGACAGGCATGACCCACATCCGACTCACACTAATGTAATTAACAAGGTTCTACCCTGTGGTTCGAAGGGATGGTAGGCACATGCTAATGTGACTGTGCTGGGAGGCTCCTGAAGTAGTGTATGTCTGCCAATGCCACATCAAGCTAAAACCACATCTTATTTTTGAAATTGCAACTGCCCTTTCTGGTCTGGAGGATGTCAGTTCATTTAATAGATTTTCTTCCTTTCTTTCTTTTTTTTTTAAGTGTAGCCTCCTGAGCATCACAAGATTATTCGTTTGGTGTGGGCACTGATTTGAACATTCCTCTGAGATGAGAGGGACACAGCACAGACTGCCAGCCGCACCCCCTTGGGGAGCTGTGTGGGGCACAGCTTTTCCTCTATTCTCAAGGATGAGACTGCACACCACGGGCTCAAAATGCAGCTAACTTTAGAATTTACCGAGTCTGAAGGTTGAAGGTTTCCCTTACTGAGAAAGGCTGTATAACAGAGAGAGATTTTTAAGAATCTGCTTTTCTAGAATGGTTTAGGGCAGAGACAAGCAAAATATGGCCAGCAGACTGAATCCAGGCAGTACTAGTTTTCATGAATAAAGTTTTACCGGAAGACAGCCGTGCCCATTCACTCACATATTGTCTATGACTGCTTTCATGTTAAAAACAGAACTGAGGAGCTGTGACAGAGACCATATGGCCTGCAGAGCCTCAAAATGTCATCTCTGGCCCTTGAGAGAAAACGTTTACAGATTTCTGGTTTAGGATCGGGGTCACCAACTGAAAAGCCTCCAGGGGCCATGTGGTCATATTCACCTATTGCAGTCTGGGTGTAACAGAGGGCAGAGGGGACTGTGCACAAAGGTGGCCAGTTAGCAAACCCCAGCTTAGGGAAAGGAAATGAGCCTGAATGAGGCAGTAACCGTGATTCTGGAAGTGTGTATTTTTCCAAGAGCATAGTTATTCCAACACCACAAACAAGACTAATGAATCAAGACTATACACTCCTGGTTTACAACTTGGTGACAGTACAGCAAAAAGAATTCCTTACTCCACCCCCTCCCCCAGCTATCTGTTAGGCCCTTCCCTGGTCTTTATTCCCATCTGCAAACCAGCACATCTAGTCCCCACTCCTGACCTGATCCTTCAGCCTCAGACCTGTGGACCCCGTGCTCCACCTGCCCCAGGACATCTCCCCCCTGCAGCCCTCCTGGCACCTCAACTCACCATGACTGATAGAAATCTCGTTGTCTCCTCCTGAAACCAGTCCCCTCCTGATCCTTCTTGGTGCCACATCATCCATCCAGGCCCAGGCAGCTCCTCAGGGGTCTGTGGCTCCTGCCCTCTCCTTGTTCCTCTCATGACCTGCATCCCCAAGCGGCAGCCACCCTCACCCCCATCCATCCTCCCTCCCATCAACACTTTCAAAAGCCTTCCAACAGCTTCCCTGCCCTTGGTCTCTACCTCCTCTGATCAAACCACTGGTTATCTGTCTCAACCTAGATCTATTCACATCCCTGCTCAGAGTTCACCAGGGCCCAGTGGAAGCAGCACTGGATCTGGCTCAGACATACCTGGGTTTCAAATTCCTGGCTCTGCCTCTAACTTGCTGTGAGGTCTTAGGCAAGTCACTTGGCCTCTCTGGACGTCCTTTTCCCTACACATAAACTTTCTACATCAAGGACTTATGATAAGATATGCAGAGCACTTAGAACACGGCCAGGAACAGCTGAGGTGGTCCCCAACAGTGTCGCTCCCTGTACTGGCAGTAAGTAAATAATGCCAGTATTTTACTGACAGCTCGTCTCTGCTTATAGGTACAAGTTCCAATGCCTTAGAAGGGATGTCTAAGGAGGGAACACATCTCCTTGTCCTCTTCTTTTCACATGGAGGCACCTCTGGTAGGGTAACACGCCTGGCCTCTCTCTGCCCTCTTTTCTGGTGAATTGAGGAGATGGAACTATCCATTTGCAGCCTGGCTCCTCCTGGGTCCTCTCTTTGAAATCCAGCTGCCTGTTTACGGAGGAGTATTCTGCTCTGCAATCCTGGCCATGCAGAGAGCTCTGTGAGGCAGGCTGTGTGCTGCAGGGGGAGGCCAGCCTCCGTCTCCTCATCTGTAAGGCCCTCTGCCCGGGTGAGTCAGTGAGCCTCCTTCAGAGCACAGTATGAGGGGGTCTGCTATTACTGCACACCTAAGCTGTGTCCTCCAATCAAAACACTGACAGATCCTCATCTGTCTGACTCCTGTGAACATTTCACATGATGGGGACACTCTGTCCCACCAAACCTAACCTCTCTGGCAGCCTGTGAGGTCTTATCCCCAGCCAGGCACCTAATGCCCTTACACACGATGTGGTGCTCAGCTGGGAACACCCTTCCACCCACTCTCTATGCCTCAGGCCCCCATCCTCCACCTCCACTCTCACACCCACCATGGTGCCCTTAGCTCTTTAAACAATGATTGAGACACTCCATTTTGACGGAGCTAATTTCTCACACTACTATCTCAGGATGTGCACGGTAGGTGCTTGATGGTGGGAACCCTGTTTCTTACACTTTGTGGTCTCTGGTGCCAGCCTGGGGCCTGGTGCATTGTGGGCAGTTCATGTGAGTCTGCTGAACTGACACAGCACCTGTCTCCTCCCATCACCACGTCTTCAAGGTCTATTTAAATGCCAGGTGGGAGTGATTTTCCTCCGTCCATCTTTATCCTGCTCCTTTCTCTCTCTCTTTATTCAGAGAAGTAGTGTTTACATACTATTTTAAAAGCACACAAGGTCACTTCTCTAAATGTGCAATCCCACAGACCAGCAGAGAAAGATCTTCCCAGGCTGGTCCCAAGAGGACCCCTGACCTGAGCAGAGAGCAGGCTTGGTCTGCTCTGCAGGAAGCTGAACCCTGGAGAAGGGACGTCACCAAGGTCCCTTTGAGAGGGGGAAAGAGGGTCAAAGAGCCTAGTTCCTCGTCTTGCGCTAACCCTGGACATGATGATTTCCCATGCTGGTCCACAAATGTCTGGGATTGGAGGCCTTAGTCAGGTTGTGGGGTGGGGAACACATCCGACCCTCACCCCAGCTTGTGACTCTGTTCCCTTCTTACCAGCTCCTACCCAATCGGACTGGCTCAGCACCGGACAACAACCAGCTCCTGTTGATTAACAGGCAGCATCACTGTGTGGTCAACCCCCCACCTTGCTTTCCTCTGCTTCCTGTGTCCCTAAAGCACTTGCCTCCCTGCCCTTTTGGCCCTCAGGGGTAGGCCAGCCAGGCTCTTCCTCTTCCACACTTAGGGCTGAACAGGTAAGCCAAGGGACGGCCTCTCCTGGAGTTGGGCCCCACAGGAAACAGGAGGCGGCAGGCTCTCCCGGGGCTGAGACTCTTACCCTTCACTGGACGCTGGAATCACCTGGCAGCTTTCAAAATACTGACACCCGGGTCCCACCCTGATATTCTCATTTAGTTGGTCTAGGTGCAGGCTGGCCTTCAGGATTTTTGAAAGCTCTCTAGGTCATTCTAAGGTGGAGCCGAGGTTGAGAACCACTGGCCTAAGGGCATTCTCCATTTCACAGTCTGCCAGAGTTCTGAATTGGGGGTTTTCAGGCTCTTCCCCAACTGTTAAGGCAAAGCTCCTGTATCCCATTGTGCTGTTGTCTTGGGGTGTTTAGCCCCCTAGTCAAAAGCCCAGGGGAGGGAGGGACAAGAGGTAAATTCAGACACCCAAGCCGGCTGCCAAACAATTAACCCTGGTGTTCCGTAAAAGGCCTCTAAATGAATTCTTGGGGATTGGGACAGATAAATGTTTTGAAACTTCTAGGAGTATGAATAGCACTGTATCCTCGCAGTAGCACAGTGAAATCATGACTCCATCCTTCAGACAGTCTGTGGCCAATCAGTGCACCCCAAACACCTAATTCTAGAGGGTCAGGGAAAACCAGCAGGCTTACCAAGGCGGTACTTACTTCTGGGGATCTTGCTGGGGTAAATCTTCTGGCATGGTTTATACTCATCCGGAGGAGGAAAGTCTTCCACAGAATGGAACGTGAATTTAGACTCAAAGTCATCTGCACACACAGGAAATGCAAAGTTACTGTGGTTACTGTGATGATCCGAGTTTTGGCAATTTCCAGGAGCACAAAGGTTTGCCTGCCCAGTGCACAGGTTTCAATGGCAGGGCTAGTCCCCCACTGAGATGTCCATCCACCTCTCAGTTTTTACTGTTTAGCTGAGACAAGAGGAATCAAGTGAAATCAACAGGAGAAGTGAAATCAACAGACTCTCCCCATCACCTACCCAACTTACTTCAACCAACATCTTAAGGAAGCTTCTAAAGGGAGCAGAAGCGCCCCAGGGCTATCCAGGGTCCAGAGTCAGCGGTGGGGAACTTGGCAGCAACAAGGGACCAGTGAAGTCCTTGTGGCCTGAAGCCCCTCCTGGGCTCCTGGGGAGGGTTTGGGTAGGGAGGGGTGGGCAGAACAGGAGTCCTCAGCTTGGCTGATGGGAAGGGGCTTGGCCTGTGTGCCACTGGGCATCAGGGCTCCCCAAAGGAAACGGGTTCTGCCCTGAGCTCCTGATGGCAAGAGGAGAGGGGTCTCGTGGCCCTCTTGCGGGCTGCGTCCCTGCTTTGTGATGTAGACTTTGGATCTGACAGTAGTTCAGCCCACGAAGGGATCCAAAGATTTTTTGGTCACATCTGACCCTAGGTGACTTTCCTTCTCGTCTTCATACTTTTGCCCTAATTGTCCCCATGCCTGGTGGGCCTTCCGTCCATCCTTTCACCTGTCCACATCACTCTATTCTTTCAGGCTTATGCATGGATTTCTCCATGAAGGCAGACAGACATACACACACAGTTGAAATGTTGGTTTTCTTCCCCCTCTCTAATCTCAATCAGAAGGCTGAAGAGTGGGTTCTGGAACCCCCCAGAACACCTCAAGAGAAACTCTATTTAACACAACCTGTAAGTTGTTCTGTGATACAGTGATGCCCCTGTTCTTGCAAAGCAAGTGCCCTGAAATGACAGCACTGTGGGCGAGCAAACTCCCTCCAGGCGCCAGGGGAAACCACTTCCTCACTGGCAGCCAGCACGGCGGACGGTGGGCCCCGCTTACCGATGATGTGCAGGGTTCCGTTCCGCAGCTGACCGCTGGGCTGCTGTGTCGGAGTCCAGGCTGGGGCCTGCTGGCTCCTGCTGGAAAGCTCCGTGGTGGGTGATCTCGCAGGGGGTGCTGGGGGTGGATTTAGCTTTCCCCCACTGGTCCCTTACAGAGAAGATCGTGTATTCAGACACAGGAATGGGGATGGCAGATGCTATAACCTTCTGTGAGAGGCAACGTACTGGGATCTTTGGATGTCATATGATATGGGGAGTAAACGGGCAGCCTCTGGAGCCAACCTGTGTGGGAATGAATCCCAGTTCTCCCGCTGGGATAATAAGACAACCTCTATGCCTCAGTTTCCTCATCTGTAAAATGGGAATCATAATAGTACACACACCTCCTAGGGTTGTTGAGGGTTAAATGAGTTGATTGAAGTCACGTGGCATGCAGTAAGGGCTCAATAAATGTTAACTGCTGTGATAATATTAATGATGAGGACAACCCTCATCAGCAGATGGCACAGCCCAAGGAAGGGGAGCCACAACAGAGTCCTAAGAAAGGCAAGGACTGTCTGTAGGTGTGGGCTCAGGGGAAGGCTAGATGAACTGGCTGTCGGGGGCTCGTTCCTGCCCCCGTGTTTCTGCTCACGCTGGTCCCCTGCACTGCAGATCCTCGTCTCTCCTTCCAGGCGATCTAAGTCCACCAGACCCACCGGGTCAATTCAGATCCTACCTGCTTCATGAGACCTTCCCTGTGACCTCTGCGGGAGCTCACTCTCCTTCACCAATACTTTTTTCTATGACTCATTTGGCCATTAACAACCCACTCTCTTGGCAGATCCGCGCAGGTGTTCCACTCTTTACTCAGCTTCTTGAAGTGATGACAACCGCACCACTATTACCTGTGCCAAGATGTTCACATTACAACCTCCTTCTCTTCCCCCCAGTCAGCCTGAAGCAGAAATTACCCTCATTTCATTCACGGAAAACTAAGTGTCAGGTCCAAAGACACAAGGAAAGAGGCCAGACGAGCATCCATTCCCGGCCTCAAGTTCACTGTTCTGCAGCAGGCGAGGGCACCCAGACGCAGCAGCTGGGACCATCCATCACCGGCCATCAGTGCTCCTGCCCTCCAGCTCCCGCCCAGCTTCCTTTCTCCTTTCCTAGCCTCCCTCTGCCCCCTTTCTGGTCTTCCCTTCCTCAGTACCAGGACCCACTCGGATTTACCTGCTCCCACAAGCAGACTAAAGCGGCTAAGGGGCCACAGGGGCTGCTGCCCTTCTCCTGGATGAAAAGCTGCCTGTCCACATGGCAAGACAGAAGGAAAGGAAAGAACGCTGCTGAGCCCTAGCTACATCAAAGCACTTCAGGCACATTCTCTAATAGTCACAACAATCCTATGTGAAAGGTGTTAGTATTATCATCTCCATTGGTCAAACAAGAAAGCAAGGTTCAAGAACATTAGGAAAAAAAAAAACTTCACCAGCATGAAGTAATACAGAAGTGGGTGGGGAGGGCAGGATTCGAACTCAGATCACTCTGAATCTAAACATTGTTTTTTTCACCACCCCAGGAACACGTAAGAATCAGTGTCAGAAGAGGCTCACCGGTACTAAAGCTGGCCCTTCTGGTGACCAGTCAGTTGAATGATTAAAACCTAAACTCTTGTGACCAAGAGCCTTAAAAATATTCTTGCCCTTTGTACTAGGAATTCCCTTTTAGGAACCTATCTTTTAGAAAAAATATCCAAAATGGAGACTACAATTGCTAAAAAAAAGTATTTCCTGCAATACTATTCATAATAACAAAAAATGGAGTCAACTTAAATATATAGAATTATGGTATACACTGATTATCATATTAATATGCTTATAAATAAATTCTAAGAACTTGACATTGCTTTTAATATTAAATAAAAGAATAGAAAATTATATATATAAAATAGTATTAACTATGTAAATATGTAGATATAGTCAGAAAAAAAATGAAAGGATACATACACATCCAAATATGACAGTTTTTATTTCTGGTGATGTTATTATGGGTGATTTCATTTTCTTTCTGTGTGCTCTACAACAAGTTTGTATTATTTTTAATGCAAGGAAACACACTTAAGAAACTTTCTGCATCAAAAGATTTTCTGAAAGACCAAAGAATGTGGGTGTGTGTATAAGCAAGGATGTGTGTTGGGGTGTGTGTGGATGTGGGTGTTTATGAGTGTGTTTGCATGCGTGGAGGAGTGTGTGTGTGTGTGGGGGGGGTGTGCATGGATGTGTGGGTGTGCTCTCCATTCGGAAGGACATCAAAGGAGAATGAAGCCTCACCACTACATGGAAATCACAGTCACGGGGCATGTATACTCTGTCCAAAGTCCTCTCTGCTAGATATGGGAAGGAATTATTTTTAACATTTGGCTCAAAATACAGACCCTCAGTTTTCTTGAGTCAGCTGGAGAACCTGCCAAAACTAAGGCAGAATGCTAAACGCATCTACTGAGGGCCAGTGAGGATGCTGGCTGGAGCCAAACTGCAGTAACTCAGGCAAAAGTTTAACAGGAGACCTGGTTCTGGAACAAACTGCACCCACAGCCCCAGCTGCCCCAGAGAGTAGACTGGACATCCGAATGATTAGAATAAGAATAAATAACCCTTCTCTAGAGCTCACCGTTGCCAGGCCCTGTTCTAACAACTGCATGAGGAGGGAACTATTGGCTATCCCCGTTTTACAGATGAGGAGAAGGAAGCACAGAGAGGCTAAGTGGTTTCCCAGGGTCACACAGCTAGTTATGGCAAGGCAGCAGGCGAAAATCCCTGGCTTGCGGTCTGCAAGATCTAGGGCAAGTCTTCCAACCTCCCTCACCCTTGGTTTCCTGTCTCTAACACGAATTCCTCCAATAAAAAGTCCCATAGGACATACTTTTACTGTGCTGCACAACAAGCCCCGAATAGTTCTGTTCTACAACAAAATCCCCAGAGTTAAGACATCCGAGGTGTCCCCAAGTGGCTCACAGGAGCAGGCCTCTGGCTGTGTCCCCAGCCCCTCCGTAACTGCGGGCAACAGTCAGGTGATGCTCTGACCCGCCGCCCTGGACCCGAGCCGCAGCGCTTACCTGGGCCTCGGCCCGGTCTCTTCTTCTGCAGGTAGGGCTGAGACGCCGGCAGGGCGGGCGGCGCGGGCAAAGTCTGCCCGCTGGGCTTCGGTGGCTGTGCCTGGACGCTGGGGGACTTGGGGGGCAGCGGAGGTGGGGCTTCAATGCTGTTGTTAGCGCCTGGCAAAGGGGGCGCAGGCATAGAGGACCTCGGGGTACAGGAGGCATAAAGGGGGAGTGGGGTGTCGGGGTGGCGGGGCGCAGGACGCAGTTCTCGAACGTCTTGGGTGGGGCTGGCAGCATCCGCATTGAGCCCGGGATACCCACAAGGTGGGAGGAGAGGGAGTGGGGGTGGGATGGGCGGTAGGTGCAAGGGGGCGAGCTGAGGCTTCACCGCCTTGTCACTGAGAATGGAGGCCGGGGGAGGTGGGGGCGGGGTGGGGGGAGGGGGCGGCGGCGGAGGGGGCGGCGCGCATAGCAGAGGGGGTGCAACCACCGGGGGGTTCCCTTTGGTCGGTGGGCCAGGGGGGGACACCAGCAGAGCTTTGATGGGGGAGGAAGGGGGCAGAGGTGGGGGTAAGGGTGGAGGAGGTGGGGGTGGGGTGGGAGGAGGTGGCGCGGGCACGCTGGGGCGAGGAGGGACTGTCCTGGCAGCGCCATGCGCCTCGGCTGCATTGCCTAGCCTGGGAGATGCAGGGGCGGTCAGTGGGCCGCTGATGGTTTTGGTGGGCAGCCGAGGAGAAGGCGCTCGGGAGCCAGGGCCCTGCCCTGTCTTGCCACCTGGAAGTGAAACAATTTCTGCGTTAGCTCAGCGATAGAGGAAGGAGAAGCCCCAGACCTCTCCAGCATGATGTCAGTCAACTGCATGGTGGACGCTCTTCTTGTGAGTCCACCCAGAGGCCTCAGGTGCAGCAGCTGTCATACAAGAGGGCCAACTGGACCAGCCCCAAGGTCCTTGCCAGCATAAACGTGCTGTCCTCCTCTGAGACAGCCTAGCTCAGGCCACCAGACTGTCTGCAGGGCAGCCTTTCTATTCCATTCCACCTCTACCCTGATCTGCCAAAGGCCCGGAGTCTCCCAGCCCCGGGCACAGGGCTGCCCCAACCTCCTTTGCCCTTCCTCATCTCAAGGCCACCCTCACACTCATTCACGGTGACCCACTACATCAACCAGCTTTTCCCTCCTAGCTTGGTTCCTCAGGGGTACCAACCAGAAGCTCCTGGCTAGGGAGGTTTTCCTCATTCCCAGCCATTTGTGAACAAGGACTTTGTTTCTGCATCAAGAGCAGAAGATTCATAATTCCTTGAACATATAAGGTGACTCAGAAATCAATGGGAAGACACCCCGGCTTGGGGATCCAGGTCCAATGACCTTGAACCTCACAGGTCCATGGCCTCTGGAAGTTCAAAGTTCCCTTTCCCAAAGACTTGCACCCATTTCCAAGGGGCTCGCTGTCTCCTGGTCTCCTGGCTTCCTCACCCCGTAGATCCCTCACCACATCAACCCTAACTTGAACGAATGCCTCTTTTGAAATCAATAACAGCAGCTGCTTACAGTAATTTTTGTTTGGTGGACTTTGTGGAAGATTGGGGTGGAGGGTGGTCCCTGGGAGGGGCCTTGTCACTCCTGGCACAACCTTTCACCATACTGCTGGTTCTTACCCTTTTTCTCCTCTAAGGAGAAAAACTTCCTCTCCCCTTTACTGCACAGAAGTTCTGCAGTCACTGCTTAAACATGTCCTTGGAGTACCACTGTCCCCTCAGGAGGCATATTAAGATATTTCTTCCAAATAAATCCAGTCCGAAATCTCCCTATAAGGAATTCTGGGGAATACAATTTCTCCTATTCCAGCATCCCTATATTTTATAATAGCCATTGAAAACACCTGAAAAAATGGCTGCTTCTCACACCCTCCATTTCCTGAGTGCTGGAGAATAGGGAACACAGCTCTCAAACTGGCTTATAAACTCCAGCATCTGGTGGCGGTTCTGAGCTTGTCAGCCTCCGAGTCTCCAGCGTGTTTACCCAGGCAGGTGCTGAATCATACCCCAAGGACTGATGCCAAAGGCCGGCACAATCAAAGCAAGGTGTGGCAGGGGAGACTCGGGCTGAAGCTAAGTGGGCAGGACGGCAGTGTCTGGCTTTCCAAATGGATGGTCCTCCTCCGGCTACGATGTGACAGTCACCTGGACAACACTCCTCATTACAGGTCTCAGCTCAGGAATGACTGTTCTTGAGGCAGAGCAGTGATGTCATTATTCCTGTTGAGGATTTTTTTGAGGTTGTTCTAGAAGAGATAATGCCTTTGCACTGATGCATCCACCCTGTTGATGTGATCCCCCTGGCGGTCAAGTTAAGGGCAGGCATTGCCAGAACACGGCTGACCATGATCAGGAGTGGAAGGCCCCCACTTGGCCTTTCCAGGGACAGGATCTACCACAGGCAACTCTGACATTAGACATTTTATGTGAGGCCTAGGGTAGGTGTGAGGCTCAGGGATTCCTGCCTCCAAGTGCTCAACCTGTTTCCACAGTACACAGAGATCAAGATGGAGGAACCAAGCAGCTCCCTAAGCAAGGTGAGGCCCACCTATATACCCAGTTCCTGGATGAACTTTAAAGGGATAACAAATTTGAGGATCAGAATCAGCCCCTGCATAACCAATCCCAACTTTTTAAGTAACTGAGGACACCATGTATCCAAGATTCAAAGACCCTCAGGATGAAGCAGAGAGCCAGCAGCACCCACTTCAGGTGAGACCCGTGGGAGAGAGAGGAGCCAACAGTGTGAGTGCAGGCGAGAAAGCCAGGCAGCTGGGGACCAGCGGGGAGAGAAGGAGAGTGGGTGCCGAGGGAAGGGAGGGAGGAGGTTTGCCTTCCTGACACAAATGCTAGCCCTAGAAATCCAAATAGAAACACGAAAGGAGACCGTGAAGCGGGTGGGGAAAGGCCTGCTCCGGTGCATCAGGGAGGCTTGCTGATACGAACGGAAGCAGCTGTTAGAGCCTGGGGATTATCAAAAGGTGAAATATGTCTTCTTCCTTCAATGTGTGTATGTTTCCAGAAGACCTTGGGTTGCATTTCCATGCAATGGAAATTACACAATCTGTACACACCAGTGATGTTTACTCATCACATCTTATTGTGACCATCCCTCGGAGCTCTGGGCCAGGGCCACATTACGACTTTCCAAGACCCTGGGCACTTTTGCCTTTGTGGGCCTCTTCCTCTTAAAAAAAAAAATACTTAAAATTACATTTTATGACTGCATTGGTATAGAGACAAATATAATCTTTGACGCTAAAAGTTCATGTTTCTTTTCAGGTTTTAAAAGAAATTCAAACATTATCATGGGCCCCTAAACGTACTGTGAGCACCAGACGCTGTGCTTTCTGGGCCTGATGGCTCTAAGGAACCATACTACCACTCACACATTCCATTCAACAGTATTCACTGAGCACCTATCACGTACCAGGCATTTTTAAGGCAGTGGACCAAACGCAGTTCTTGCCCTCACGGAGCTTACGTTTAGAGAGAAAAGACAAAAAATTAAAAAAAAAAAAACCCAGTATATATGTAATATGTCAGATGGCAATAAGGAATACAAAAAAAATAAATCAAGGTAGAGGGGATTTGGGGTGAGGGGGTGGCACTCGTATTTTATATGGGATGAGAAAAGCCTCACTGATAGGTTGACCACTTGAGCAGAGACCTGAAGGAAGAGAGAGAGTGAGTCATGTGGACACCCGAGGAAGAGTGTTTCAGGCCAAGGGAACTGTCAGTGCAAGGGCCCTGTGGCAGCAATATGTCTGGTGTGTGCAAGAACAGTAAGGAGGGCAGTGTGGTTGGAGTGGAGGGTGTGAGCCAGCAAGACTGGTAGGCAATAAATTGAGAGAGGTAGGGAGCAAAGGCTGAAGTCCTGTTCTCTGAATGACAAGGGGGCTGATGGGAGAGTTCTGAGAGAGGAGAGCCGTGGTCTGACTTACTCTGACATGGCACTCAGTCTATGCATCTACCTATTGGCTCTGTCCTTGAGTTTCCATTCCGTAACAGGCATCATTAGTCACTTCATCATAGATTTCAATCTCCTCTAAAGAGATCAACTCTTGTCTTCACATAGTGGCTCAAACATCTGACACTTGTGTCCTATTAGAGACAAGTAAGAATACTGCTGTCTTCCTTTGGCTGGTCTCTGTTAAAACTTGACTGGGGGTTATTTCTCCTATCTTTATTTCTATGAAAAGAAACTAGTGGAAGTTTTATATCCCAAAGGATGTATGTTTGATACCACTCAGCAATTTTGAAAGAGGGCACTGAGGAATGCTAGGTCTCTTTATTCAGGAAGATCTCAGCACTTTCTTGCCCGCCAAACCCTCGGCCAAAGCGAGGAAATGAAAATGGCCTCTGAGAAGGTTCAAGTTAGACCTCAAAGCATCCTAGAACCTGTATCTTTGCTGGACTTTACCAATAGGTGACAGCAGCAAATGCACCCATAAGGTCAAACAGCCACAGAGGCCACTGAGAAGGTTAGCAAGGTCACATGGTAGAAGATTCTATACCGGGAATGTTTGGGGCTTGATATTCCCTAGATTAATGAAATTCCTGGAGTTTATTCAGCTTGCTGGCTAAAGTGCCAGCAAGGAAAACACTTTTTTGCACACAATAAATATATATTTGCCGAATTTTAATGCAATACTTTCAAAATATCTGATACCCACTAAAACACAAATGATTATAGTAGATTGGTTGCAAAAATGGCCTCAATCATCCACTCACTCCTGATTTCATAATCTTTGAAATGTGATTTTGCAGCTCTTCTCATTAAAAGGTGAAGTCTTTTTCCCCATTCTTGTCTCTGGTCTGGCCTTGTGACTTGCTTTGGACAAGAGGATGTGGTAGGAGGTAATGCTGTGCCATTCCAAGACTAAGCCTCAAGAGACTTTATATACTTCCGTGCTGTCTGTTGGAACCCCGCCACCACCATGAAAACAAACCCTGAACAGTCCGCTAGATACTGAGAGACCATATAGATTGGTCACATCAGTTGTCCCAGCTGAGGCACCAGAGGTGTAAGAAATATAAGGTTAGCAAAGCCACCTACCCAACCTATAGATACTAGAAGGAGTCCAGTTGAGACCACCCTAAATTGCCAACCCATAGAATTGTAAGCTAAATAAGTGGTTGTTTAAAGCCCCTAAGTTTTAGGGTGTTTTGTCACACAGCAATACCTAACTGATATGATAACTGAGAAGCATTACAACTCGCACATTGCCCATGAGCCCACAGCAATGTCACTAAGATCTTCTGTTGTGAATTACATCTTCTGTCTATACTTTGCAATGTGGGTCATGATCACACCATTGCTGAAAACTATACACTATGGCAATTCATTCTTCAGTTATTACAATGGGATGATTTAAACGGTCCCTTGAGAACAATTCTGTGCTTTGGAAACTTCCAGTGCTTAGGCTCCCAAATACACGCTCGTACTGTGGGGATGGCCCCATTGGTTGTATAAGTTAGGGAGATAATGATCACAAGGCAGCCATTCTGAATTCTTCCTTACCTGCTGCATCCCTCTGGCCTGCTGGTCGCAACACAGGAAAACCACCAGCAAACAGATCTCCCAGGGCTGGGGGTGTGCTTCCGCCTCGAGAGTTTGCAGACCCTCCTCCTTCTTTGCTGGTTCCTTTAGAACCTTTAGAGAGAAGAGGCAAGTTGAGGAAGACCTGTGAGCAGAGCTGAGCAGCCAGTTCTCCCCCGGGGCCATGGTCTAACACTGTCCACCACTAGGCAGCCTTCCCATCCTCCCACCTGCACCATCACCTTGCTAGTCAGTGTCTTTCCTAAACACCCGCTGCCTTGAGCTCTGCAAACTCGTTTGCCAGGCCTGTCTGCTACCCACTCCAGGCCTACCGGAGAACCGACCATCGGTGGCTGACCACTCTGAAAAGTGACCCAGACAAAGGGAAGTATATACTGCCATTTAGTAGATGCCGATGGCGGAACTGGCAGCACCTTTCAAATTAGAAAACCCAAACACGGTAGGTACAGAGCCAGCCCTATTTTCGACTCGATTGTTGTTGTGGAAGGACTAGACAGAGAAAACCCACAGATTTAACTCAGTCAGTCATTTCAGCTTCTTGTCCACAGAGCCTGGCCCAGAACTGCAAGCAGGAAGTAATGGTCTGCAATGATTTGTGCTTCGGCATTTTCCTTCTCTGTCTCCCCAGCTCGCACTCCCCGAGCCCTGTACGCTTCCCTGAGCCTTTTGTTTCGTGGAAGAGAAAGCTCATGAGCCCCTGAGGGGAGGTGTCGCTCATTCCACCCTCCAGGTGTGTGTGATTACTAACTACGTAAAATGAGAAGACATTCAGCCTAGACAAGAATTCCTGGCAAAAAGTGTTCACAGCCTGAAGCTAGTACACACAGGGAAATTAAGGCACAGTATAGTCAGATTATTCTGAGTATTAATATTAGACATTACCTACGCATTGGAATGATTAGGAAATGAGTGTTCCAATAAAATGGCTTAACCAATTAGACAGTGGGTCTAACCAGAAACTAATTTTTATTGTAATTGTTGAAAATACTTTAAAAATAATTTGTCTATCCTTGTGTATTAACATACATAACTACAACTACTAGATACAATTATATTTTTAGGACTATCTTTGAGAATTATCATCATGTACATTATTGAAAAGTATATGAAGACATAACATGTTACATTGATAAATAGTTTTGCATATATTATTTCAATCTTCAACAGTCTTGACAAAAAAAAGAGCAGATATTATCGTCACCCCCATTTTGCAGATGAGCAAACTGAGCCTCAGGAGGTTGCCTGGTGGCAGAATCAGAACTCCACGTGGGTCATCTGACCCCCGCACAGGGCGCCTTTTATGCTACCAAACTCTAGAAGACAGAGAGAGCTATTGTCATAGGCTCCTGTGAGAGAATTCAGAATAAGTCTTTTTCCTTGTGAAAAACAAAAACTTTGCATTTTTTAACTTGAGACTTTCATTTTTGAGTTTGAGGGCTCTGTTGACACAAGGTGAGTGATCTTTAAATGTCACCTCACAGTGGATAGACACAAAGTGGTATAGCCATACAATCAAAAGGAGTGAAGTGCTGATCCGTGCTACAACGTGGATGAACTTTGAAAACGTGCTGCTAAATGAAAGGAGCCAGTCACAGAAGGCCACATATTGTATGAGTCTATTTACATGAAATGTCCAAAATAAGCAAATCCATAGGACAGGAAGTAGATTCAGTAGTTGCCAGGGACTCGGGGAGAGGGGGAACGGGGAGTGACTGCTAATGGGGATGGGGTTTCCTTTTAGGGTGATGGAAATGTTCTGGAACTAGACAGACATGATGGTTGCAACCACATTGTGAATGTATAAATGCCACTGAATTGGGCACTTTGAATGGTTAAAATGGTGAATTTGATATTATATTTATTTTATTACAATTAAAAAAAAGTTATCTCACCATGAGTGTTTTTGTCTTTTTTTTAGCATTTCGAGAGTGATGGAAGATAAGCTAGAAAGCATCTGCAGACTTGGAAGGGAAGCTCTGAGTCTCTCATCCCTGTGGCCTGTACATGGGGCAGGTCTGAGATGGCCCCATGAGTGTCTGGGGTAACAAATGTGGCCCCTGCCGTGAGCAAGCCAGGGGTGTCTGGCTGAACCTCACACGGCCTGCTCTTGGCTCACAGCAGGCCTGGCCCAGATGCCCACTTACTCTCGATTTGCGGTGCACTGCGGTCATTGATCTGCGTGACTTTTCGTAGGCGAGTTCCTTGCTGGATATCAGCCAACAGTGCACTCCGACCTTTGGGATCCGCCTTTCTCAAGCTGGAAGTGTCCGTACTTACCTGCAAGGGAATAAGAGGGGTTTGATTATAATTGCATATAAAGCCAAATGTCCTGTCCGCTGGAAGTTTTCCTCCTGTAGTTCTCTGCCTACCCTGCACCATTCCCAGGGCACATCTAACTAATGCAGTTACCGACAAGTCTTGGTGGAGACACCCCCTTCCCTGGGGACCCAATGGACTCTTTCTTGTGCTCAAACTCCCCTAAGTCTTAAGGAGCCCTAATCACAGCCCCTCTTCTTGCCTCCTAGGTAAGCCCCACCCACAAACCTGGGCTTCCGTCTGTGTGTTCCTGACTCCTGCTCCCAGGTTCTGAATGATCACCCTGCCTGGTGTCCCCAGGTCCCCTCCTGGACTGAATCCTTTACTAACCTCCAGATGACACGAGTTGGTCCTGTTGCTCTGTCTTGCCCTGGGCTGTTCTCTGGAGTGGTACTAAGTTGGGCTCAGTCCCCAGTACTCACATCCTCCCTGCTGTTGGGTGGCCCATTGTGTCTCATAACTGAAGTTGACTCAGCCTCCAGGAGCTGGTTTTGAGGGAGGGATGGTGGCCTTTATGTGATCAAGGAGCAAAGAGGACAATGGGGGAGCTCAAGAGAAACTGGGGCTCAGAGGGGTCATAAAATTGGGAAGAAAGGGAGGCCAGGTAATTATAACAAAGGTTCAGCGACTGCCTACTTCTCTGTGCCTGGGTGCCTTACTTTAATCCTCACCAAACCTTGTGAGTTTCAAGGGCATCTGCCTTCCTTTTACAGATGAGAAAACCGAGACTATGAAATATCCCTTCAAGGTCACAGGGCTGGATCAAACCCAGATCTGCTGAATTCTAAAGGCCATGTGCTTTTCACTTTGCAACACTATAGCCATCAAGGTCATGCTATGGTTAGGATAAGTGTCCCAGAGACTGCTACGATGTTTCATGAATATATTTGGGAGAATGACCTTTGTTCTAACTCTGCAAGAAGCACTGAGGTCCAGCTGCTTCACTTCCATGGTAGCTTGAGCTGACACGGCAGGGGTCTCCAAGACTATCAGAACCAGGGAGCCCAGAAAAAACATAGGCAGGCCAGTGGCAAATCAGGGGAGGGGTGAAGGTGCAATGGAAGACACAGCCAGGAGGAGCCACTGCAGTCAGAAGATACCACGTGACCTGAGAGCTGGTTACACATTTCTCAAAGCCATAAGTACTTCTTAGCGCCTGCTGTACAGGGAACACCACGTGTCTTGTGTTTTCAGCTTACACATCACCACTTCGGAGGACTTTTTTGACCCCTGATCTAAATAAGGCCATCCAGGATCTTTCTTAGGGTACCATATTCCTTTTTCCTCTGTAACTTTTATCACAGTGTACAAATTTATATTTATTTTTCCCTGTGGAAATTTTTCATTTGTGGTTATGGATTTAAGGTTCATCATGCCCACAGGACTCTCTATCAGGAAGAGGATCTTGTTCGTTCTGTTCACCAATGTATCTCCAGAGAGTAGAACAGGACCTAGCCCCAGATGGACTCAATAACTATTTACTGGACAAATGCATGAGTGAGTGAGTGAATGAACTAGACTCAGGATGTATAATACACTGACCTTAACCTCAAGGGCATATGCATGTACCAGGCAAACAGGACACACATGCGAGGAGGTCAGCCGCTATATAACACAGCATATGACCGAGCGTCCATGTGAGTCCTACAGAGAGGAAGATGCCCAGAGTTCAGAAATAGTCATATTTATCAGGCCAAGGAGGCTGCAAGGAAAATATGAGACCTTAGATGGTCCTTAAAGTATAGACAGGATTTACAAATCCTTGCTATAGCCACTTTATGTTCTGAAAAGGACAAATCAGGTTTGCTGACTAGACAGTCACAGACTCTCGTTTCACAGACTAGAAACAAAGGCAACTGTGGTTTTAGCTAAAATGTGCTGAGTCTGCATTTTCATTGGCTGGCTCTGCTGCACTGGTTTGAGGGGCACAGCTTCAAAGTCGTGTCTTTTTTGCGTGTGTGAGGAAGATTGGCCCTGAGCTAACATCTATTGCCAATCTTCCACTATTTTATGTGGGGCAATCTTCCTCTATTTTATGTGGGATGCCACCACAGCATGGCCAGACAAACAGTGTTGGGTCTGTGCCCAGGATCCAAACCTGCAAACCCTGGGCCACCTAAGCAGAGCGCATGAATTTAACTACTATGCCACCGGGCCAGCATCCAAAGTCGTGTTCTATGAAGATTTTATTTTTCCTTCTTTTTCCCAAAAGCCCCCCAGTACATAGTTGTATATTTTTAGTTGTGGGTCCTTCTAATTGTGGCATATGGGACTCCACCTCAGCGTGGCTTGATGAGCGGTGCCATGTCTGCACCCAGGATCCGAACTGGCTAAACCCTGGGTTGCCAAAGCAGAGCACACAAACTTAACCACTTGGTCACAGGGCTGGCCCCCAAAGTCGTGTTCTTATTGCATAGAAACATGTTGTTTGAAGGCTTGAGAGGGGCTTGTGGATGATGGTCAATAATAGAGCTATGTGCAAGGGGCCCTAACCCTAACGTGATAATTTTTTTAGGAATGCATGTATGAACGCACACCTACAGCAGGTATTTCCCATACAATGTGATTTAAGCCTCTCTCTCTAAAACATTAATATCAATAAGTCATTTTAAACTGTAAAAGTTTTAAGATTGTTAAAGTCTCCTCTCATTTTATTTATAAATAATTAATGACAGGAATAAGAGACCAGCAGAAATACCACAGACCCTAACCCAAGAGAAAATGGAAATTTTTGTAAAAATCTGGCATTACAATCTCAGGCATGTATTATGGTCAGGGATTTGGGGGAGAAAGTGCTTTGTAATTTGCTTCCCAGTTATAAGATAAACAACGTAGTGAATTATAATGATAATCACGGCCCAACTCAGGTGACAGCCTTGGGGAAGGCGAGGGTTAGAATGGTGCCTTCTTCTGTTTAAGGAAGCAACTGGAACAATGAGCAAACCCTATCAAACCTTATCCATAACAACTCCCAGGGAGGGGTGGGGGAGTCAGCTCATCTAATTTAGACTCAAATTTTTATTTATTACCAAAATGCATCCCCTGCTCTCTGAATTTGCCCCTCCCAGGCTTTTCAGGTGAGGGCTACGAAGAATGTTGTATGTCCGAGGAACGATGATTTTAATTTTAGTACCTACTAGCACAGTACTTTCTTGACGGTTCTGCATGACAGATATGTTGATAAGCTTCTTCCAGGCTGGATCATGAGGAGGATATGGCAAGTCATCTCATGTTTACATAATATAGTTCAACCGGCTGGACTAAATTTAGCATTCCTTCTTGGACTTCTCAGCTTTCTTTCCTGCTCCACTGTCAGCCCTGACGACTGTCCACTAGAGGGCTCTCCCTCCCCTGACATTAATATGGTTTCCTTCGATCCTCTCCGGTGAGGTAGAAAAGAATGAATAACTTCCTGGCTAAAGTGACCATATATATTTAGGTTTAATGGGTTTGTGCCAAAGGACATCTAAGGACATTTGTTTGCACATTGTAGACTACATTAGACAGTGACAGTCATTTCTACTCCATCTGCAATATTTATTAATTCAATCCTAATTTGCTTTCCTAAAAATCTACAACCCTAAGAAGTCTTGTTACTGAGGTTACAAGACGAAGAAACAGGAAAGAGACAATTTCCAGACATTCACTGCATCTTTTATTCCTGATTATGGGCAGCCTTACTAAAAATATAATCACTGGAGAGAAAGCCACGCCTGGACACTTCTCTCATGACAAATATATCCACCAAACGTGCCCCTCCCCCCAAAAAGACCAAGAAACCAAAACATCACTTCAAGTTTGCTCTTGCTCTTTCTGGTTAACATTGTTATGGAGTGTGACAATTTACTGGGTTCCACACCAAGCTTTTGTTGACTCGGTTCTCCTATAGCCAGCTTCAAATGAAACAGCCCTGATCCTAAAAAGATGCCAAGGAGCAGAACAGTGACACCAACGAGCCCATTCGTGCTCACAAAGGCTGAAAACCGAAGTGACTCAGTAAGATTAGAAATACAAAAACTGAAAGACACTACTAAGACAGCAAGGCTGGTGAGGTGTCTGTCCTCCTCGCTTGATAAATTATGAAAGCTTCTGCACATCCATTTGTTGTTCCAACAAATGAGTCTATCAGGTTTCAGTGTAGTTTGGGGGAAGGGGATGGCAGTGGAGCCCAGATCAAAACTTTGAAATGCGTGTCCTCCTGATATCTGCCACCCTGCCACCATATGCCATTACTGCAGCTGTCTGATACTGGTATCTATGAGAAACACTAATAAAAATCTAGCCAGTGGATCCAAATCCAGCGGGTCGTCTCAAGGATGATCTAAGCCCTATCATTTTCATACTATTTCAGCCTTGCAGCCTCCTAAAAGGACCTTCTCCAAGGTGGCTGTTAAACCTAAAATTAGCCCTCGGGTTTCCAGGCACACAGGCTGCTCATTATCCCAGCCCTCAGCCTCCTCCTGCCTCCTCCAAACTTGGGGCAGACAGGTCTCAGCAGCCAGGGTACTTGTCGTTCATCATCAGATCTGAATCCCAAGCACAGCCAGAATGGCCCTGCCTCCCTCCTGCTGCCACCGTCTTCACGTAGGAGAACACAGAGAGCCAGCGATCCAAAAGAGAGACATGGAATGTTTTCAGAGAAAACAAACTCTCCCCTGTCAGGCCTGACACAATGTTCTCTGTACCCTCAATGTGCATAAGTCAAGCTGTTCCAGAATGAGGCATATGGAGATATAACAGTTTTATGTCTCATTTTCAGAAGTCCAAATTTGCAATTACAATCCACAAGCAAAATGAATGGACGCTTTAACCTCCTTTTCTAAAGCCTGGTTTCATAAAACAACTGTGTGCAGACCTGTGACTGTTACTTAGAGAGCAGAGCTGCCTCATAGGGTACCACTTCTCTTATCAGGAGGTAAACAGAATTAGGGCCCTTTCTTTGGAGCTCTAGGCTATAGGTG